GCCGATGGCTGAGCGAGGACCCCTCCCTGGCGGCGAGCAGCCAGTCGCCTTACAGGGTGCGTGGGGATGGCGCGCAGGCGTTCTTGAGGTCGCCTTGCACCGCGCCCCCACTCGCCCGCCTGTGGGAGCCTCGACGCCACGCGCCGCCGGCTGCGCGCGCAAGAGCGCCGGGGGTGCGTGTACACACGCCTTCAGGGTTCATATACAGCAGGGGCAGTTCCACTCCAGCAGGATGAGATATTCTGCCCACGCGTGCGCCCCGACACGCGCCCCTGCCGCCCAGGTGCGGCGCGACCACTTCAAGGGCATGAGCGCCGCGCAGCGCGCCGCGGTGCGCGAGGGGCAGCTGGTGCAGGTGGAGGGCGCGCGCGAGGACGGGGCGATGGCGGAGGCCGCGGAGGCGCGCGCGGCGGCGGCGGGGCGGGACGTGGGGGCGGCGCTCGCGCGGCAGGTGTGTCGTTGCTCTTGAGGGGGGCACGGCGTGCGCGCTCCGTGGCCACGGTCGAGCTTTGCAAGGCGCTGACGCGCTCTTGGTTTTCATGGGTTCCGAGCATGCTGGTTTGGCCGGGGGTCATGATGTGCGTTGACCAGAGACGTGTGGGGTTAAGGCCTTGCGAAGCCCGAGCAACGTTCTGCGGCGGCGGCAATCGGCGCCCCACACCCTGCAGGCGCTCAACGCTGAGCTGGCGCGGCGCCAGCAGGCGGCCGCGACGGCCGAGGCACTGCGGCGGCAGATGGAGGAGAAGCGGGTGCGCGACGCGGCGCTGCGGGAGGTGTACGCCAACAGGGTGGCGCCCTCGTACTTTGAGCAGTTTGGCACCAGCCACCGGTGACGCGCAGCCACGCACGCACGATAGACGGGCGTGGACAGTCAGATTGCGGCGGTTCGTAGTCCAGGAGGGGAGCTTCCGTATTTTTTGACAAGCTGGGGTTTTGCCTGGTCGCTTTGGCTTCGTGACACCTGGCAGCGCGCGCTGAGTCTAGGACTCCTTGAGCAGCGCCCGCTCTTGACACACACGCAGCACCAATCCAACCAAAGCCACATACAGCCACAGCGCCCCCGGCCACGCTTTAGCCGCCGGCGGGCGGCAGAGGCGCCTGCACTGCTTTTGACGGGCTGCTACGGGCGGGGTGGGGGCGCAAGAGGCGAGCGGGCTCCTGCGCGTGCCGGCCGGACGCGCGAATGCGGACGGCCAGCGATGGGAATGCCGCAACCCTCTTCTTGTGAAACTACCCCGGCTCTGGCGCCGCAGCTCATATTCTTTTGGGGGCTTGGCCTGAGCCGGGCTCCACCAACAAACACCTGGGATTGCTCTGCTCTCTTTTCTTTTCCTCCACGGCGGGCCTCTCGCCGTGGAGACACATTTCCTCTCGCCATTTTGGTCTCATCCTCTCACGCCTGCAGTGCGGCGCTGGCGGCGCCCTTTGCGGGGCAGCGGCAGCCGCCGTGGGGCAACGCCTTCCTGGGCTCCACCCGGCCCCGCCAGCCGCTGGGTGCTACTAAGGCACAAGTCTGCTCCTCCAATCATCCACCCCCCACGGTGGTTTTCACCTTGTTACGCCTGCCTGTGCTTATTACAACCACAGCCCGTTTGCAGCCAAGCTCGCGCAGGCTCCCGTCGTGGCAGCGGTTGGTGCGTCAGGAGGCAGCCTTGCGCTGGGTGGTTACAAAACACACTTGCTCAGTGGGGATGCGCCGCTGAAACCTCACGCGCGCGAAGCAAAAGCCATCCGTTCAAGTTGGCGAAGAACGGAGGGTTGAGGAAGGGAAGAAGGTGGATCTGGCGCCAGACCCTGGGCTCAAGTAGGAGGTGAAAGGCCGAGATTGGCATCAAGCCAGGGCCGCGCGGGCCGTCAGATGCACGCGTGCCTGTGGGACAAAGGCTGTCACAGCTGCGATGCGTGCGAATAGTTGCTAGCTGGGGCGCTGGCCCCACTGCGCTGCGATTCCAGGCGTGCGCTGCCCCCGACATGCCCTCAAAAGTCAATGGGCGCACGGCGTCTGGGGCCGCAGGCCGCTCGCAGCGTCCCCCGCGGCCCCAACGTGTGCAGGTTAGCAGGGAGAGCGACGCGAGGCCCCTGCTGAGCCCGAAAAAGCACTTGTGTGGAAAAATGCTGCACTGCTTGCCAAGACGCCGCTCCAGCACTCGGCACGCCTGTCCAATGTCAAAGTTGTAGGGTCACAGGTCACTTGCAAAAGACGGGCTGCCGCAGCTGCCTCGTCATTGCCCTGCTGCAGTGCCCGTCCAAACTGCCTAAATTGCCCTGGCCCCTGCGACGCCGACTGGCCGCTGGGCGCGTCAGCAACAGTTGAAAAAAGAATCGAAGCGGCGGTCGTCGCCCACATGCCCTCTGTCGTGTTTGCCGCTACCATCGCCGCTGCCGCCGCCGCTGCCGCTGCTGCTGCCGCCGCTGCCGCCGTGTCAGAACCTGGGAGGTTTGCATTGCAGGTGGATGCCCGTGTTGGTACTGGCGGGCTGGGGTGACGGCCCGTCATGCAAAGGGGCCCACGCCTCAACGCGCCAGGCATCACTCGGGCACAGGAACACGCCCGGGACACAGCCGTGCGGGCCGGCGCGCGCAACGCGCCTCGCCCGTATGCTGCAGGCTTTGTGCGCACGCGGCCTCAGGCCCGTTCTGCGTCTGACCGCACCGTATTGCCCCAAGCCGCCCTGATGACCGTTCAGGTCCCTCAGCCGCGACCACAGCACTTGGACGCCCTACTCCACCCCCCATCACACGCGCACCCACACTCACACTCAAACACACACACATGATCACACACACACACACACATGTGCGCGCGCCGTCCCACTCACGCCCCAAGCGCAACCACTCCCTGCCGCCCCACTCCCCCATCCCCCCACACCTGAACTGCCAGTCCACGTCCATGGCCCAGTGGAACTTTGACAGCAGGCTCTTGTTGAACACCTTCTCTATGGGCACCTGGGGGCGCGACGGGTCGAGGGTGAGGGCGGGAGTGTGTGCGCATGTGTGTGTATGTGTGTCATGTGTGTGTGTGTGTGTGTGTGTGTGTGTGTGTGTGTGTGTGTAGAGGTGGCGGCTTTTGTTTTGCAGCCAAGGATAGGCCCCCTGGCCGCGCCCCTTACAGCAACGCCTGCAAACTGCCCGCCTCTTCCCGCGCCGCCCCCACATCTCGCCTCCCACTCACATTCATGCGCCAAGTGCTCCTCCGCCACACCTCGGCCGTCTTGCAACCACCAAGACTGCCCCGCGTCTGCACGCGTCCCCTTCTTCCCACATCTCAACATTCCCCCACACCCTCACACCCCTCACACCCCATCACCCCCGTCGCCCCCCCAACCGCCCCTCCCCACCCATTAAAACCCAGTGACGCCCCACCTCGTTCCTCTTGCACCATGCTATTGTGATGCGGGGGTCCATGTAGTTGATCTTGCTGGTGCCCAGGGCCACGGTCTTGAGGTCCTCCTTCACAGCAGCCGCCAGCTCAGCCTTGGCCAGCTGGGTGCGCTTGGAGGCCACGCGCTTCTCCAGGCTGGCGTGAAGGTGTGAGTGTGCACATGGGTGGGGTTTGCAAGTGCGTGTATGTTTGCCTGACATTTGTGTGTATATACAAATGTGTGAGAGAGAGTGTGTGTCCGTGTGTGTGTGCGTGTGTGCATGCGTGTGTGTATGCGTGTTTGTGTATGCGTGCATGTGCGCATGTGTGCGTGTCGGGGTGGCGGGAGCAGGCGTGCGTCTGTTGAGGAAGAAAGGGCGACTATGATGCGGCGGCAGCGCGCAGCACCCTGCACGGGTGACGAGCGGGGCCCTGCCGTCCGCCAGTCGCCTGCCCCCCCCCCCTGCCCCGACGCCCCCTTGCCCTGCGTGAGGTGCCCCTGCGTCACCGTTGTGCTCACGTCTCAGCCGAAACGTTCTTGCCCTCGCTGGTGGGCTTGCCCTTGCGCGCCAGCAGCAGGTCAGACTCCAGGGTCTGCAGCTCCCCGCGGATGGCTGTGGTGTGTGTGTGTGTGTGTGTGTGAGAGAGAGAGAGGCAGTGTGTGTGTGTGTGTGTGTGTGTGTTGAAATGTGTATGCATGTCTGTATGTCTGTATGTATGTGTGTGTGTATGTCTGTATGTATGTATGTATGTATGTATGTATGTATGTATGTATGTATGTATGTATGTATGTATGTATGTATGTATGTATGTATGTGTGTATGTGTTTCTTTGAGAAGTGTGTGTGTTTGGAAGCAAGTCGGTTCGTGTGTGTGCGCAGCAGCAGGGGGGGGGTCACAATGGTTGTGGGGTCAAGCAGGGTGTGTGATGTGAAAGGATATGGGATGAGGTGTCGTGGGGCGAGCTGGGGCGGGGGATGACGCGATGGCGCAGGGGCGGAAGGGAGGGTGTGCGCCTTGCCGGCTGGAGTATTCGCGAGGGGCAGGGCGGACGAGGGGTGGCGGTCGCAGCTCGAACACGGGGCGGCGTTACAAGCCAGCTGCAGCGCGAACGCCATACTGACCGGGCAACTACATCCCTAAGTGGGCCCCGACCGGGACGCCGCCACGCGAGGTAACAGCCCAAGCTCTTTTCGCGGCCCGACGGACGAGATCGGTGGCTGGATGTGGCGCGTGCCATGCGCGGCGCCGGCCCAGTGAGGTTGGTTCAGGGTTCCCCCTCACCCTCGAGCTTGGCGGACATCTTGCCCATCTGCTCCGTGTGGGTCTTGGGCACCGACCGCTGGTGGTTGCACAGGATGGCTACCTGGGTGGCCGGGACGGGGTTGGGT